CCTCTTTATCACCACACTGAATGAGCACGTCTAAGTGTACTTTGATTCCAGCATTTATTGAGTGCCCACTGTGTGCTGAGCTGTGTGCTAAGTGCTCTGGAAGAGAGAGGCGAAGGGGGCTCAGTTATGCTGATCACTAGACTGGGAGTCTAGCTGGGGTCTCAGCCTCCTCACTCCTTAGAGGCACCTTTCCAGCAAGTTCATTCATTTAAGAATTATTTTGCTGAGCAGGGTACAGGCCCTGGGGATACCATGGTGAACAGACACCAGCCCTTGTGAAGTTCACATCATGCAACCTCTCACTCAATAAATATTTGTGGAGCAAGTATGAGCCACAGTTGATTCTAGGTACTGGGGTTGGAGGGGTGAAAGGAAAAAAGGCAGGATAAGTAAAGAAGCAATTGTAGAAGAAAGGAAAGCATTACCTATGAAGAGAATCACATAAAGTATGACGATGGTGGAGAGAAGGCATGTAACCCAGTCCTCCCGAAAAGGTGGTGTCTCAGCGGTATTAAAGGGTAAATGGGAGCCAGACAGGAGGGGAAAACGAGTCCATGACGAGAGGCCAACCACATAACTGCTGCTCCTTACTGGGCCTTTAATGTGCGCTAGGCATTGCAGATACATCATCTCCGCTCCTTACAAGGGTCGGTACTATCTTTACCCCCACATTACAGATGAGGAAATTTAAATACAGTGAGACTTAAATACCCTGTCCAAATTCTTCCTGCTAGTGAGTGGTGGCAGGACTTTATTTTGGGGGGCTCCAAAATCACTACAGATGGTGACTGCAGCCATGAAATTAAAAGATGCTTGCTCCTTGGAAGAAAAGCTATGACCAACTTAGACAGCATATCAAAAAGCAGAGACATTACTTTGCCAACAAAGGTCCGTCTAGTCAAAGCTATGGTTTTTCCAGTAGTCATGTATGGATGTGAGAGTTGGATTATAAAGAAAGCTGAGCGCTGAAGAACCGACGCTTTTGAAGTATGGTGTTGGAGAAGAGTCTTAAAAGTCCCTTGGACCGCATGGAATTCCAACCAGTTCATCCTAAAGGAAATCAGTCCTGAATATTCATTGGAAGGACTGATGCTGAAGCTGAAACTCCAATACTTTGGCCACCTGATGTGAAGAACCAACTCATTGGAAAAGACTCTGATGCTGGGAAAGACTGAAGGCAGGAGGAGAAGGGGATGACAGAGGATGAGATGGTTGGATGGCATCACCAACTTGATGGACATGAGTTTGAGTAGGTTCTGGGAGTTGGTGACAGAGAGAAGCCTGGCGTGCTGCAGTCCATGGGGTTGCAAAGAGCTGGACACAACTGAGTGACTGAACTGAACTGAGTGAGTGGTGGAGATGGAAAGGCGTTTCTGCATACAGAAAATAAAAAGAAAACGGCAGAATTATGGTAACCACAGATGAGAAGACATAGTATGGTGTGGAGCCTAGCTGTGGAACGTGTGGCAGGAAAGCAAACAGGGACAGGCAGCCTGGGAATGGATTACCAAAGGGTTTGTAAGTCCTTTTATTTACTTATTATTTTAACTTTTACACAAAGTATTTATTTACTCAGGTCTGCTGGGTCTTAGTTTTGGCAGTCTGGATCCTTAGCTGTGGCCTATGAACTTCTTAGTTGCAACATGCAGTCCAGTGCCCTGACCAGGTATCCAACAAAGGCCCCCTGAGTTGGGAGCATGGAGTCTTAGCCACTGGATCACCAGGGAAGTCCCGAGGGGTTGTGAGTCCTTTTAAACAAAAGCAGGAGTTAACCTTGCTTTGCCATGGCCTGCTCTGGCAGCATGGATCCTTCTCAGAATAATCTTTTAGGTGCAAAAATACAATACATAGGATTACAAAGAACCAGTGATAGTGAAATTCAGTTATCATTAAGAGTAAAAATCAAAATTTGGGATACTTTAATACATATGCTTCTTCATTAATGTATTAAATAAAATCTACTGATGGGCCTAAAAATTACTGTAGTTTTTAAAAAAATAATTAATTAATTTCTGGCTGCGCTGGGTTTCCGTTGCTGCCTGATGGCTTTATCTAGTCACAGCAACTGGGGGCTACTCTCTGGTTTCCGTGCTCCGCTTTCTTATTGCAGAAACCGGCTTCTCTTGTTGCAGAGCACTGACTCCAGAGCTTACCAGCTCTGTGGTTTTAGCGCTCAGGACTTGGTTGCCCTGTGGCATGGTGGATCTCCCCGGACCAGAGATGAAATCCGTGTGCCCTACATGGGCAGGTGAATTCTTAACCTCTGGACCACAAGGGAAGTCCGAAATTACTTTAATTTTAAAGCAGGGAGGAGTGGAAATGATTTTTTCCCCAACGTTTTATTGTGAATAAAATATTTTTGATATATCTGAAAGACTAAAGGGATTTGAAAGCCTGAGACTTCTGTTAAGACAAAGAAACAGGTATTGCCAAAATTACTGCGGTTGTTCACACGCATGACGGAAAGAGAGGTTAAATTTCAGAGACTAGTGAAAGTGAGATGAAATATTTTTCCCATTCAGATTCACGGGCCCTCTGCATTCTATCCACCACTGGGTACCCTTATGTTACGGGGTCTGGGATTTATTCCCAGGGCACTAGGGAGTCACTGAAGGACAGGAAAGATAGTGAAGGATGGGGAAGCCTGGCGTGCTGCAATCAGTGGGGTCGCAGAGTCTGACATGACTGAGCGACTCAACAACAAAGGGAGTCACGGTCAAGGAGGTGTGGGTCACAGCTCGCTGGCAGCCCCCGAGAGCGAGAAAACGCTGGAGCCGAGGAAAGGCTGGATGCCAGAATCCAGCTGTCGCAGTCGTCTCCGAGGGGTGGCGGGCGCCCAGGGTGCAACAGTTAGGATGGACCCTAGGAGGCGGAGTCAACAGAGATACTCCGGTGCCTTGGTTTCCCTGACTGGGATAATGGAACAACCCGTCCCGCTGCCCTGGTCCGTATTTTGACTCTGAATCCCACTCTGAACCCCACCCAGGCCGTGGAGCCTCCTCAGGGAAAGAAGTCGAATCCCGGTGACACCCTCTTCACCGTCCATCCTCTCAGGCCGCAGGGGAAGATCACTAAGATCACTTCGGCCAGACTCCCCGAATATAGTCCCCTACCGACTCTTGGCTTCTCCGAACCCCTCGGGCGCTGCTCCAAGCCCCAGGCCGGCATCGCTGCCTCGCGGCACCGTTCCAGCTCCTCTTCATCGCTGCTGCTGCTGCTGCTCTCCAAATCGCTCATGGCGCCACTGGGTGCCGCCACCTTGAAGCACCGCAAAGGATTGTGGGGAGAGCCTCCAGGCGCGGTCATCCTCCTAAGGTCCCCACAGGGAGCGGGAAAGCGCAGGGCATTGTGGGGATTGTAGTTCTTAGACTCAGACCAGCATTGGGTCCTAAATTGTCCTGAAGGGTTTCCTGAAACGTGAGAGCTGGAAGGGCCTAAGAGATCAACAGATCTATCCTTGATGAGGAAAATAAGATCTATAGACAGGAAGGAATTGCCTAAGGTCACACAAGGGGTTAATGACAGTCAGGATTGATTCCCATGTTTTGGTCCAATACACTTTGATTATTATCCACTTATTCTACAAATTCGGAAGTCTGTTTGCGCATCAGAAGTACCTTAGGGACCTTTGTGTCTGTGGTGGGGTGGGGTCGGGGGCAAGGGGCTTCTCAGGTGGTGCTAGTGGTAAAGAACCTGCCTTCCAGTGCAGGAGATGTAAGAGATGCAGGTTCAATCCCTGGGTCAGGAAGATCCCTTGGAGAAGGGCCTGGCAACCCATTCCAGTATTCTTGCCTGGAGAATTCCATGGACAGGGGAGCCTGGCAGGCTACAGTCCATAGAGTGGCACACGACTGAAGCGACTTTGCAAGCATGCACGCACGTCTGTGGTAAAAGTCACATAATATTTTGTCGTCGTTTAGTTGCTAAGTCGTGTCTGACTCTTGTGACCCCATAGGTATGTAAACTGCCTGGTCCTCTGTCCACGGAAGTCCCCAGGCAAGAATACTGGAGTGAGTTGCCATTTTCTTCTCCAGGGGATCTCTCCAACTCAGGGACCAAACTTGCGCCTCCTGCATTGCAGGTTGATTCTTTACTGCTGAGACACCAGGGAAGCCCACATAATATAAAACATACTATTTTAACCATACTTAACTGTACGCTTCACACTGTTGTGTAGGGGACTTTTTAAAATGCAGATTGTTGAGTCTTACTGAGAACTAGGCAAATCAGAGTCTCTGAGAGGTGGGACTGAGGAATCTGTATTCCTTTCAATATCCTAGGGCTTTGTTAATACTCTCAGTATAATCCGTGAACAAGCAGCATCGGCAAACTCCAGAGCCTGTTAGAAATTCATAGTCTTGGTTTCAGCCTAGACCTGAATCAGAACCTGCATTTAAACAGGATCTCCAGGTGATACGGACTTCCCTGGTGGCTTAGCAGTAAAGAACCTGCCTGCCAATGCAGGAGACACGGGTTTGATCCCTCGGTCAGGAAGATCCCCAGGAGAAGGAAATGGGAACCCATTCCAGTATTCTTGCCTGGGAAATCCCATGGACAGAGAAGCCTGGTGGGCTACAGTCCATGGGGTTGCAAATAGTCGTACTTGACTTAGCGAGTCAACAACAACAGCAACAACAATAGGCTATTATAGAGTATTGAGTCGAGTTCCCTGCACTCTCCAGCACGTTCTTATTAGTTATCTGTTTTATATGTAGTGTGTAAATGTCAGTCTCAACCTCCCAATTTATCCCTCCCCTTTCCCCCTTCGCCCCTGGGAACCATAAGTTTGTTTTCTACATCCATGACTCTATTTCTGTTTTGTAAATAAGTTGAGGGGATTTTTAAAACTGCATCATCTTCCATCTCCCAGACTTCCTTTATCTCTATCTCACTTTCCACACAGTCCTTACTTTCCAGAGTTGAGAGGCTCATACGCTGAGGTTATAACCCCCAGGACAGCCTTAGCACCTATGGAAATAAATGAAGACCATCTGAAAGAGAACAAATGAAGATTATTTATTCCCACCTCACTATAGCCAGGGAGTTAGCCACCATCCCTTGCCTTTGGCAGAGACACCAAGGCAAGGAGGGCGGTGAGACAGCTTTATAGTGGCATAAAGAGAAGGCTTCAGGTATACCCTGATTGAGGTTGTTTGCATGGGAAGCTGGAAGTGGGCTACTTAGAAGCAGAGCATTCTATAAGATTGGTCAGGGACCTTGTTTGGCTTTCTTTCATCAGTCCTAAATTGGAAGGGAGGGAATAGAGAATCTAGTAGTTGTTGACCAAATCCCGTTGGTTTCCAGTTAATTGATACTATGGTTTGGCTTCCAGGCTGGTGGCTACAGAGCTTGTGGGTCAGAATTCTGTTGTCGAATATGCTCTGGCCATTGTTGGTTTGCATATCTAGTCTCATATCCCTCATCAGCTGTCTACTGGCAAGGTTAGGTGAAATAGATGAGCCCTAGATTAAACAGCAAAAATGCACAGGGAGATGTTTCAGAGGAAACTGGCTGGGTGGAAATGGAACCTATCCAACTGTCTTTTTGGAGAGGATGAGGGTGGTGCTGTCTCGGACACCATAGCAACTCAAACTCCACTCATCCTGCAGGACTTGGCCTTGGAACTCTAGCTGTTGCTTCTTTCTGAGTAGCCCCTCCCTCACTTCAATCTGACACTTCAGGTCCAGGACCAAGCTGCTGGAGTAAATGGCATAGGCGTGGCTCCCCCTGCTGTGATTCTTCCGGAAGACCTGCATCCGGGGAGGGAAGGTCTGCAGCAGAGAGACTCGAGTGTCAGAGAAGATACTGTAATCTGCCAAGGAGGATATGGTCCTGAGGACCTGTTGCTCCCCACCAGGCCCCTGGAAGGACAGACGCTGGGGGGCCGAGGACTCCAGCTTACGCTGGATCTTCTCTTTAAGCTCCTGTATGGACTCATAAGGGTTCACCTGGATGATGAAATCCACATGACCCCACCGTTCCACTGTCACCTTGATGTCTCGGGCAAACTGGAAGGGAGAGGAGAGAGAGGGGTTAAGTCCACCTTCCGGTGTCTGAGGACAAACGTGCCCTTCAGGGATTTCCCTGGTGGTCCAGTGGTTAAGACTTCACCTTCCAGCACAGGGAGTGTGGGTTTGATCCCTGGTTGGGGAACTAAGATCCCACATGCCTCGTGATAGAAAAACTGAAAACATAAAACAGAAACAACAGTTGTAATGAATTCAATAACGACTAAAAAAGTAGTCCACATTAAAAAAAATCTTTAAAAAAAATTCTATTGTGTGGACGGACGTTAAAACAAAACAAAACAAAACAAAACAACAACAAAAAAAACCACGTGCCTTTCACCTGTCCGTGTCTTCACAACAGCAGCAGCTGAAAACATTTTGTTTGGTTGCTAAGTCATGTCTGACTCTTTGCGATCCCATGGATTGAAGCCCATCAGGCTCCTCCGGCCATGGGATTTTCCAGGCAAGAATACTGGAGTAGGTTGCCATTTCATTCTCCAGGGGATCTTCCGGACCCAGGGATTGAACCCAAGTCTCTTGCATTGGCAGGTGAATTCTTTGCTGCTGAGCCACGAGGGAAGCCCATTGAGGGGGTACTTCCCTTCCAGGGCCTGGACTGGGCGCCATTCATACTTTCCTTAATGGAGTCTATTCTCACAGCAGCCCTATGAGGTTGGTTCTGTGATTAGCCCATTTTACAGATGAGGAAATCATGGTTGAGCAGGATGATGTCATTTATCAACCATCACAAAAGTAGTGAAGAGCAGAGCAGTTATTTGAACTGAGGTCAGTCAGAGTCCCAGGTCTGTTTTTCACCATCAGAGGCCACACTCAAGGTCCTGGGAGCCCCAGATGGTTGAAGAGCAACATCTGCAAGGTGCTGGGAGAGGGGACTGCTGTGTAGACCTCCAGCTGATCCTTTCAAGAAGGGATATAGGTTCAGCACGGCCAGGTCTTCTGGTTTTCCAAGATAAAAATCTTTGCAGGATTAAAATTTTTTTTTATTTTTAAAGATTATTTTATATTTTGACTGTGGTGGATCTTTATTGCTGCTTGCAGATTTTCTCTAGTTGCAGTGAGCGGGGACTACTCTTCGTTGCCATATGCAGACGTCTCATTCTGGGGGCTTCTCTTGTTGTGGAGCACAGGCTCTAGGCACAGGCTTCAACAGTTGCAGCACTGGGGCTCAATATTTGCAGCTCACAGGCTCGGGAGTGCTGGCTCAGTAGTTGGAGCACATGGGCTTAGTTGCTCCATGGCATGTGGGATCTTGCGGGACCAGGGATCAAACCAATATTCTTTGCATTGCAAGGTGAATTCTTAACCATTGGACAACCGGGGAAACCCCATGATAGCTTTTATAATCAGGAAGAATCCAAAGGCACATACTTTTCAGCCCATTGGTGGCCCTTTGACAGCTGGTGGGCCCCCAGTTTGTAGTCTCTGCTCCTCATTAGGGAGACTCGATTCTGCTTCTGCTCTCTGCTCTAAGTACCTCAGTCTTTTGCACACAACGTTAGTCCTTTGCCCCTTACCCCCTACCCTAACCCTCTACCTGGATAGAGGTTATCCTCTACCTTTTTTCCTGAATGCCTACATCCTTCCCTGGCTTTTAGGGCCCACCTCAAGCCCTAACTTCTTCAAGAAACCTTCCTTGGTGACTTGAGTGACATTTATTTTCTGATTGCATGGCCCCCCAAAGATCTGGGTATGAATTCTGACTCTGCTGCTTCTTAGCAGTGTGACTTTGGTTAATTAATGCTACCTCTCTAAGCCTCAGTTTTCTCATCTGTAAAATGGGGATAATAATGCTAACGATAATAATAATACTTGACCTTTCTGTGTTACAGACTTGTCCCTGAACGAGTGCTTTGCCAGCTGTAAAGCACGATGCCAATAAAATAGATTCCTTTGCTCTTTACCTGCACCATGGGTTTGGCATTTTTTGTTTTCTGAGTAGTTTCTCTGGTAATTCCATTTCTCAGTTTTGTGCAAGTTTGTCTCATGGACTTGCTTTCTAAACAAAATCTTTCTAGCAAAATTTCTTAAGGGTAGGGGCTGTGTCTTATTTCTGTGCTAGTGTTGCCCCCGGTCATCCCCCATCAGCCCCAAGCCTGGTACTGGCACAAAACAGCTGATTGGGGACTTCCCTGGTGATACACTGGACGGGGATCCGCTTGTCAGTGGAGGGGACACAGCTCTGATCCCTGGTCCTGGAGGATTCTGTGTGCCTTGGAACAACTGAAGCTCATCCCCACAGCTACTGAAACCTGTGCACCATACAGCCCGTGCTCTGCGCCAAGGGAAACCATCGCAATGAGAAGCTGGTGCACTGTAACAAACAGTAGCACCCCCACGCCACCACTACATCAGCGAAGACCTAGAGCAGCCGAAAAAATAAAAATAAATAAATTACATATAAAAGAAACCAACCAGCTGATTGAATTGACTTGCCTGGACTCAGCTTATGCGAAGAATGATTGAGCCCAGAGAATCCCAGTGACTCTTTGGTGAATTATGAGAAGAGGAAAAAACAGGAAAACAAGAATTTGAAGATAAGGAATCTGAAGCTCAGAGAGCTGAATAATTTCCCCAAATTCACAGAGCTGGTGGGTGGTGTAGCCAGGCCCCAAAGTGATGCTTAAGCAATATTGGCTCCCTCAACACAGAAGTAAATAAGTGAATTGTTGTTTAGTCTCCAAGTCCTGTCGGACTCTTTTGCAACCCCATGGACTGTAACCCACCAGACTTCTCTGTCCATGGGATTTCCCAGGCAAGAATACTGGAGTGGGTTGCCATTTCCTTCTCCAGGGGATCTTGTGGGCCCAGGGATAAAACCTGTGTCTCCTGCACTGGCAAGTGGATTCTTTTCCACTGAGCCACCAGTATCTCATTCCAAACTTCTAGCCTCTGGTAGCCAGAGAAGAGACATTACCTTCAGTTTCCAGTTGGGACGTCATAGCAACAGTACTGTTTCAGGCAACAGCAGGCACTCTGAGCCACTGTATCCCATCTGTAGCCTGTTGCCACGTTGTAGGTGGGGTCAGCCGGATCCAAGATGATGGGCCTGTAACACAGAGAGAGGGAGCCCAGGTTCTTTCTTGCTTGGAAGCCTGAAAACAGAAAGAAATCTTCTTGGCAATCATCTGAGCATCTGCTATGTTCAGAGCCCAGGGTCGTCAGTCCAAGAGGGTCCACAACTATTGCCAGAGAGTAACAGAATGACGAGGGCTTCCCAGGTGGCTCAGTGATAAGGAATCCGCCTGCCAGTGCAGGAGACTCAGCAGACCTGGATTCGATCTCTGGGTCAGGAGGATCCCCTGGAGGGGGAACGGCAGCCCACTCCAGTATTCTTACCTGGGCAATCAGCTGGACAGAGGAGCCTAGGGGGCTACAGTCTGTGGGGTCACAGAGAGTCAGACTCGCCTGAGCAACTGAGCAGCAGCAGCAACAGAAGGAAGAGGATCCTGTTTCTAAGAATTCCTCAGGACTTCCCTGGTGGTCCAGGGGCCAAGACTGCACTCTCAGTGCAGGGGGCCTGGGTTCGATCCTCAGTCAGGGAACTAGATATTGCATGCTGCAGGTAAAGATCCCGCAGGTAGCAACTACGATCGAAGATCCTGACTAAATGCCACAACTAAGTCTCAGTGTGGTCAAAATAAATAAATAAATACTTAAAGTAAATTTCTCTTGGGGAGAGTATTTTAGGTGTTTGTAAGGAATCTTTGAGGTGTACAGAGGTTGAGACCGCCAAAGCCATGATGGAACAAGAATAGCGGTCCCTCAGGCAGACCACACCAGCGTGTGGGCCTCTTAAGTTCAGAGCTTTCACATTGCTGAACAGGCTACATAAATGAGTTCAAACCTAGAGCTTCTGAATTGCTTTGGACAATAACAGTACCGCTGGTACCATTTACTGATGTTTCCTGAGGCACGGGGTCAATCTTAGGTAACCTATTTTAATCCCTGCAACAATTCTCTAAGGTATGATGATGACGGTGGTAGTGATGATGATGATAATTTCTCCCCACTTTACAGATGAGAAAACTAAGGCACAGACCTCCCTAGGTTCTCCCAACCTGAAGATGGGATTCTGATCCATCTCCTCTGCCTCAACAGAGGGGAGGTTGAGCTCCCTCCAAGCGTCTCTCCTCTAGGTAACTGTTGAATAGATATTTTAAAGAATATTGGCTTGAAGGGGTCTGATAGATGACTGAGGTTGCATGGGGTGACCACAGGTCTTGGATGTCAAGCCCATGATGAAGACCTGGCCGGTGTGTGGTTTTCTGTTTTTGTTTTATTTGGCTGAACTGGGTCTTAGTTGTGGTGTGCCAGGTTTTCATTGCGGCACATAGGATCTTGGCTTCGGTACACGGGATCTTTTTAGTTGTGACTTGTGGGATCTAGTTCCCTGACCAGGGATCAAACCCGGGCTCCCTGCATCGGGAGCATGGAGCATTAACTACTGGACCACCAGGGAAGTCCCAAGACCTTGTACTCCAGGAGCTTTTGACTTAGGCGGGAGCTGAGACTTTGTCTAAGTGACAGAATATGTTAGCAGGCTAGTGACATGAAGTGGACACTTTAAGCTCCATGCTTTCAACCCCCAGCATCCCTGGTTCTCTGAAATGGTCCTGCCTGACGGAGTCAGGGAGCAGTGCCACTCTGTCCTGTGGATTCGACTCACCTGATCCAAGTAACCCACCAGGTGAGCTGGCATGTAGAGCCTCTGCCTAGTAATCAAATTAGTTCCCTCTGGAGTTTGGACCAGAAGTGATGGATGTTCCTCATCACCTTGGAGTAAGAGGGGAGCAGGGCAGGTGTGGAGACAGAAACAGAGGCAGTGAGAGGGGAGGGAGCACGTGGGCCATGAGAGGGAATGACAGAGAAGGGGAGTCTATACTAGTTTGCCTCGGGTCCTAATGGTTTTCCCAGGTCAATATTCTAAGCATCAATATAATAAATTGTCTTTTCATAAGGAGACCTGGTTATTCTTTCTTGTTAAAAAAAAAAAAAGACCTGACACTCACATGAAGGAACAGTAAATATTCTTACAATATTGCTTACAATGACCTAAAGCTTCTAGTATAAAGAGTTGTCTCAGGTTGGGTTCTCCCAGAAGCAGAACCTAAGATGAGGATTTGAGTGCAAGTCATTTATTTGGAAGGAGGTGCCAGGAAGCACCACAGAGCAAGTGGGAAAGTGAGACAGGGACGGGAAGGATGCCAATAAAGCATATGTATCAAGGTGATTACCTCTGTGAGCAGCTGGGGGTTGGACTCTGAGAACTAGTGTGGGACACATGACCCAGAAAGAGTCCCTCCATCTGGGCTGGGAGGGAGCTGAGGTATTTACACACCAGCCTCTGCCAGTCACTAAGGAAGCTGAAAACCCACAGGCAAAGGGACACAGGTGCTGACAGTTGGAGGTTGAACCAACCTTCCCTGAAATGGTAAAGGCCCAGGGGATACGAATGGGTATAAGCAGCATGTGTTACAACACTGAACATCTAGCTGGCATCTATCATAGGATAGATACAGTGGCCCTTTACATGTATTTTCTCTGACTATTCTAAGAGTCCTGCATGGCTGGTGGCAATTACTCCTGTTCTGGGCTTCCCTGGTGGCTCATTAGGAAAGAATCTGCCTGCCAATGGAGGAGATGGGTTCGATCCCGGTATGGGAAGATCTGCTGGGAAGGAAATGGCAGAACACTCCAGTATTCTTGCCTTGGAAGTCCAATGGACAGAGGAGCCTGGTGAGCTATAGTTCATGGGGTCATGGAAGAGTTGGACAACAACAACAACAACTCCTGTTTCCAGATGAGGAATGAAGGCTCACAGAGATGAGAAAATAGCAGAGCTGGGATTTAACTTGGGTCTCCGTGGTTCTTTTTAGTTTCTCATGCTGGGAAAAAGCACTGAAATGGTCTTCTGAGGGCAAGAGGATTAACAAAGAGTGGAGTGATAGCTCGAGGAATAAGGAAAAGGCTTATAGACCCTAAGGCCCTGGCGATTTGAAGGGCAATCAGCTGGAGATGTCAACTGTTTCAGGGTGAGATATCCACTTTTCTACTTAATAAAGTCCACCCAGGCTTCCCCGGTGGTCTAGTGGTTAAGGTCTAGTGGCCTTGCAATGCAGGGGACACAGGGTCGATCCCTGGTCCAGGAAAATTCTACATGCAATGAAGCCCACAGTAGCCACAGCTACTGAAGCCCGTGCACCCTAGAGCCAGTACTCCACAACTAAGAGAAGCCGCTGCAGTGAGAAGCCTTCGAACCACAGCTAGAGGGTAGCCCCCACTCGCTGCAGGTAGGGAAAGCCCATGTGCAACAAAACTTGCCACAGCCAAACAGTAAAATAAATAAATCTTTAAATATGTATATTATATATGGTGATTTTATATATAAAATAAAGCCCACCCAGGAAACTCAATACCACCTTCCCCTTAATTCTCTTTCTCTGAGATGTGGCTGGCATGCGGCAATCCAGTACCTCTTTTCTTTGAGCTGGTTTCTGACAAAGTCCTCAATGATCGGGTTCTGCAACGTGTAGTACTTGGTCCAGTAGACGCAGAGGCGCTGATACTCTATGAGCAGCTGCAGCACTGTGACCAGGCCTTTGTCCAACCTGAAATGCTCGCTCTCCTTTGTACCCGTTTCCCAGGCATAGATGGTCAGTAGCTCAAGGGCATACATTGGGGACAGCTCCGCCCTAGGGCACTGGGCTTTCACATATTGTTGAAAGACATGGGGAGAGAGAGAGAGTGAGCCCAGGATTCCTTAGAAGGATGACATTGGACCCGAAACTGAAAAAATCCAAGTTCTTGTCCCAGTTTTGCTATCTACCGGCTGCATATTCTTGGCCAAGTCACTTTTCCTCTCTGGCCTTAACTGAGTTTCCCCATCTTAAAATTAAGCAACTGGGTGAGTCCAGTGGGTTTCAAACTGTACTTGACATAACTTCCGGAATGGAATGATGAAGAAGTATCCCCAGGAGTGAGCAGGGACTTTCCTGGTGGTCCAGTGACTAACATGCCATGCTCCCAGATTCCATCCCTGGTCAGGAAACCTAGATCCCACATGCCACAACTAGAGATCATGCCACAGTGAAGGCAGAAGATCCTGCATACTGCAACTAAGACCTGGTGCAGCCAAACAAATAAATACTTAAAAGACAAAAAAGGGAGTCAGCAGATTGGGCTCTGTCATAAGCACCCCAACCAAAATAACTCTATTTTAATCTATTTGGGCTTCCGGGAGATTTCTTTTAAAGAAAAATCTTCTTACCTAAAGAGAAAAAAAATGTGTTTGTGTATGTATTGGGGGACTATGTTATTGTTGCTGTTTAGTTGCTAAGTTGGGTCTGACTCTTTTCGACCCCGTGGACTGTAGCCTGCCAGGCTCCTCTCGGACTAGATAATAGCTGAGAATCTGTAGTGAACGTTGGGGTTGCTTCTCTAACAGGCCTGTCTTTCTTCCCCATTGTTTAGTGGCCATGCTGTTTGGATGTGATTGGCCCAATCCTCATCTCCAGGGTTGGCCCTGACTGGACAGGATCACTAGGATAAACCTATTCCCCCTTGTCAAGTGGTTGGTTCAAGAGATGCCTTGTGATCTAAGCTGGCTCAGTTTGAGTCAAATCTAGTTCTTTTGTTCTGTGGTTGAGAGAAGAGAAGTCTAAGTGAATGTGAGGGCAGGAACAGATGTGGCCATTTTGCCACCATGAGGGAAACCAGCTTGGGGACCAAGTTGACATATAATATTGAGAGAAGCTGTTCCAGGTGGCGCTAGTGGTAAAGAACCTGCCTGCCAATGCAGGAGACATAAGAGATGCTGGTTTCATCCCTCGGTTGGGAAGATCCCCTGGAGGAGGAAATGGCAACCCACTCTAGTATTCTTGCTTGGAGAATCCCATGGACAGAGGAGCCTAGTCGGCTACAGTCCACGGGGTCGCAAAGACTCAGATAGGGCTGAAGCAACTTAGCACACACACACACACACACACACACACACACACAAGAGAATTAAAGAGAAACAGAGCTGCAGCCTTCACCAAACAGTGCCTGAAGCTCTTTCCACTGTTGTAGGTTTTCACACATGAGCTGATAATTCTCTTTATTGGTTAATCCAGTTAGAATTGGTTTTTCTGTTACTCTCAGTTAAAAAACAAAATGAAAAAAATTAGAGCCAATTACCCAGGTTAATGTTCTATTTTTGATGGCTCTATGGTGGGGGAGGGGGGAAAGCTTTCTTTCTTTATCTCCTACCCTCAATATTGGAGAAGGAAATGGCAACCCACTGCAGTATTCTTGCCTGGAAAATCCCATGGATGGAGGAGCCTGGTAGGCAACAATCCATGGGGTCGCAGAGTCAGGCATGACTGAGCAACTTCACTCACTCACTCACCCTCAGTATATGGCTATACGTAGTGCAAACTTAAATGATATATTATTCCAACTGACATCTCAAAAAAATTTTTTTAAATGACTTTGTGCATGAGCATGCACAAACTTGGACATCTCTGAGATCAGTGATATTCTTACAGTTAAGACTTGGTGAAATCAAACAAAACCCAGAGAATCTAACTTACACATTCCTTGGCCCCAGTGGATGAATTGGTAAGCATCAAAAAACACTTTTGAATCATGATAATAAATGACAACTCCTGAGATGTTACAAAGTCTCTAGATAAAAATGAACTAACAACTTTTTTAGCATCACAAGACTCTAGTTCTGTTTAAAGTATAATATGAACTTTGTGTCCTTGAGTATTAATCAACACGTCTTGTAACACTTGGTTAAATAAACATTCTCAAATAAAAGAAAACATCAAATGAATAATACTGAGTCAAGAAACTTTCAAAAAACCATATGCAGCCAACATCTTGTCTTAGAGGCAGAATCTTTTAGGTTGTTTGTTTTTAGGCTGCGTAGGGACCGTGGTTCCCTGACCAGGGATGGAACCCAATATCCCTGCAGTGGAAATGTGGAGTCTTAACCACTGGACCGCCGGAAAAGTCCCTTAGAGGCAGAGACTTGTACAAAGAAAGGGCTATGGAAGTCACGCTGGTATGTTTTTCTGTGGACATTGCCAATAAATGTGCATGTCATATTCAGGAAGAAAACACTTTGTACACTTAGTCAAACAAACAAAACACAGATCATTCTTTTGAGTTCTAGCTCTTCAAATCCACAAAACTTTGGATCATTTCCTGTTTAAGTGACTGACTGGCCAAAAATACCACTTTCATTCTTGACTTTGGTGTTGCTAATATCTGAAGATACATCACAACCTTTGTTGAGGTGATAACTATGTAAGAAAACACTATTTTTCCACCATAAACATACTAACTATAAACAAACTTTCATAGTATCTTGACTTTTATCTTTAAATACTATTTTTTTTTTTCTTTTTTGGTTAAACCTGTCTTTCTAAACTCTGACTCTTAACCAGTTTTTTTAAAATAAGAAATCATTTTTTTTTTCTTTCTTTCTCATTTTTTGTTTGCTTCTGAGTCTTCCTTTCATAAGCTGAGATGACTCTGCTCATCTGGGTATTTGGAAATACCCTTGGTACCATGCAGACATCCTATGTGAAATCTAACAGTAGCTTGCCATAAAACAGGTAACTAACTAAATTCTCTCCTGGCCCACAGCCATTGCCCTCCTCACAGTTTCCCCCTGCTGACAAGTCTGGTTCCTGCCTTTTCTTCCCCTCCCTCCCCCATCTTCTGCCCTTGCCCCCATCAGGCGGCCTCCTCACCTCCAAGTACCAGTGTTTTACCAGCCGCAGGAGGCTCCTCAGCTTGGTTGGCTTGTATTTCACGAAGTTTGCAGCTCGCTGAAGGATGGGGAGAAATGTCCAAGAATAGGGCAGGCCTCAGTCAGTCCCACATAGACCTCTGGGGAAGGCTGAAAGTTGGGAACAGAAGATCCTGAGGAGGCAAAGGGGAGACAGTGAGGGCTTAGAAAGCCCCAGTTGCTAACAAGTCCTCAAGGCTTTTTGTTGTTTAGTCATTAAGTCATGTCACTCCTTGTGACGCCAAAGACTGTAGCCCACCAGGCTCCTCTGTCCATGGAATTTCCCAGGCAAGAACACTGGAGTGGATTGCCATTTCCTCCTCCAGGGGCTCTTCCTGATTCCAGGGGTCTAATTCGTGTCTCCTCTATCGGCAGGCGGATTCTTCACCGCTGAGCCAGGGGGAAGCTCTCAGGCGAGAGACTGCTAATTCATTTGAGTATCTCTCCAGGGAAGCCTGGAACTATATAGCTTGAGAGACTAAAGGTTTGCTTTCTTGACTGTCCTTCTGGAGAATGAAAAGTGAGTTTTGCAGAAACAGACTCACAGATATAGAGAACAGACCTGTGGTTGCCAAAGGGGGAGATGGATGGGTAGGGTAGGGATAGATTGGAAATTTGCGTTTCGCGGATGCAAACTATTACATATAGCGTGGGGAAACAACCACCCCCAGGGTAAGTGTTCCAGAGTCACCCCGGGGGTTGCTCTAATGCTTTCCCTTCCCTGACTCTCCCTTTCTCTTCAATCTTATATTTATCTGCGTGATTCTTTGATCAATCTGTTTGCCCCACTGAACCACAAGGATAACCAGAGCTGAGTCAGTCCCAGGCATTTCAGTCGCCCAGCACCCAGCTCGGGATGTGGGTTGAATGGGTGCATGCAGGGGTCTGCACATGGCCACAGAGGAGAAGGGAGGGAGCTGTGGGTCCTCCCCCTGGGGAGGGCAGGCGTGTGAGTCAGGGGGACTTACCCTTACTCAGGACTCTGTAGGCCGGCACGATGGCGACTGTGACTTGCTCTTCCACCTCCCAGGTCTGAATGGTGAAGGCGACAGCAGAGGTGACTCCGTGGACCAGCCTCAGGTTCTGGGGCTGGAGGTGTAGCAGATCTGGGCAATCCGTGAGCTTTTCATAAAGCATGCTCAGAACATGCTCGTGGTGGTTGTAGTCCTGGAAACTGCTAAAACCGCAGGAACACCACCAGCTCCACCTCCGTGAGGTTCCTGAGCGCCGTGCCATTCCCGAAGGAGCCCACCTGTGGAACACAGAGCCCCATCACCCCAGGGCCACTTCCGGGACCAGGGATCCCTAGGGCTCTTTCAAGGATGATCCTGTTCATCGCTACTCACCTCACCAATGGGTGGGGAGTACCCACATCACCCCTTTAGAGGGGAGGAAAGTGGAGAGGTCAAGATGGCAAGCGGCTCACCCAGGGTCACACAGTGGATGTGTCAAATCCAGGCAGCTGGACTCCACAACCCACGTTTCTTATTTACTCTGCTGCCTTGCTTCCGAGACTCAGCCTTGTCTGCAGAGTGATCCCCACTCCAAGGAAACCATCATCCTCTATAGGGTGGCAGTTGGAGGATTCTGGGGGGTGGGAGGGGCAGGTCTGAATAATTTTGTGCTCTGTGTGTGTGCGCAAAGTCACTTCAGTTGTGTCTGACCCTTTGCGACCCTGTGGACTGTATAATCTGCCCAGCTTCTCTGTCCGTGGGATTCTCCAGGCAAGAATACTGGAGTGGGTTGCCATGCCCTCCTCCAGGGGATCTACCCCGACCCAGGGATCGAACCTGTGTTTCTTACCATCTCCTGCACTGGCATAATTTTATGTCATTAAAAAAAAGGGTGTGGAGACCTAGGGGCTTCCCAGTTGGTGCTAGTAGTAAAGAATCTGGCTGCCAATGCAGGAGACATGGGTTCCCTCCCTGAGTCAGGAAGATTCCCTGGAGAAGGGAATGGCTTCCCACTCCTGCATTCTTGCCTGAAGAATCCTATAGACAGGGGAGCCTGGTGGTCTCCGGTCCATAGTATCAAGAAGAATCGGACACAACAGAAGTGACTTAGCACACACTCGTGCCCTTGGTGATCTAGCTGGGTGGGATGAAAGGAATGGGAGGGAGGTCCAGGATGGAGGGGATATATGAATCTACATACGGCTGACTCACTCTGTCGTACAGCAGAAACTAACATAACACTGTAAAGCAACTATATCTCCGCAAAAAAAAAAAATGTTTTTGAATAAAACGGGGGCACAGGATTTCTTGGTGGATAAGAGCCATGGGCTGGGGAATGGGGCAGCCTGATCTTGACCTCTCCTCTCGCCCCTGTTCCTCAGTGGTGTGATCTTCTGAACCCTGTCCCTCATCAGTCATCTCAGAGTAACGATAGCACGTGGATCACTGGGTTATTGGGAGGATTCGGTAAGACTCTGTGTGTCGAGGGCTTGCCGTGGTGCCGATTACACAGGAGGTCAGCCATATAGCTCTTCCTGCTCTTTCTCGAGCTGACTTAGATCACCTCTTCTGCCTGAGCTTCAGCTTCCCCATCTGAACTGAAGGAGACCGAGCTGGATGATCTGAAGGGGTCTTTTTGATGTTCCGAGATCCTGGGCTTGCTCTCCAGTCCTGCTGCCTCTGGTATGCAAGGCCCCCAACTCTTTGGCCTTCTCTCTTTCTCACTCGAGAGGTGGAATCGCCACAGACCTCAGGTGGGTTACCTCTGCTTGTGGGTGGAGTCATTGAACATTGACTATGACCCAGCTGCCACCAGCTGGGCCCTCACGGTGTCCGGCACCACTGAGAGCCTTTTATACACACAGCCTTTTAATCCTCACTCTCACTAATTGAGGCGGCGTGTGTCAGTCTCTCAGTTGTGTCCGAGACTTTGTGACCTCATGGACTGTTGCCTGCCAGGTTCCTCTGTCCATGAGCCTTTTCAGGCAAGAATACTGGAGCGGGTGGCCATTTTCCATCCCCAGGAGATCGTCCCAACCCAGGGATCAAACCCACGTCTGCTGCGTCTCCTGCATTGCAGGTGGAGTCTCTACCTGCTGAGCCATCAGGGAAGTGCCCAGTTGAGGTGGAGGGACTAGCATATTTATCCCCATTGTACAGATGAAAAAAAGGAGGCAGCTGGGGGCTAATTGATTTGCCATGGACTCATAGCCAGGAGTCCTGGTCGCAGTCAGACAGAGGGTCAGAACACAGGGTGTGGTTCTTCTGCCTCTTTATTTCCAGTGACCCAAGTCTACATGCCAGGCCCTACTTCTGTGGAAGAGAAGTCTGCCATCTTTATTTTCCTCTTCCTTTTTTTTTTTTGACCTCACCATGTGGCATGCAGGATTTTAGTTCCCCATCCAGGAATCCAGGAATCAAACCCACATTCCTTGCATTGGAAGCATGGGAGTCTTAAGCACTGGACCTCCAGGGAAGTCCTCCTCTTCCTTTTCCATTTTTCTTTCTCCACCTGCCTTCAGAGTCAGCGTTTCTGCCCCACGTGAGAGCACTGGGGCTGGCACTCTGTGTGCCGATGAAAGCCACAACCCCCTGAAGGCTGTGCCCTTCTTACCTTTCCCAGTGGGAAGATACAGGCAGAGAGGGAAGAGCATTCTAGAACAGGCTGCATGACTTGCTTCAGTCCAAACCTATTCCAACCCGAGGATAAGCATTCACTCATATGGATCAGCACAGCTCACCAGATTTTCATGGGAGGGAAGAGGGTTTAAAGCCCAAATAAAGTGCTAATTTCTCAATAGCCATTGCTCTTTGGGTGTCTCTATTATTTATTAGTTTCAAGATTGGAGAAGATTGCAGGCAGGATTTGAGGGCTGGGTTAATACCACTTTCTGCCATCAAAACTCACGTTTGAGACATCCTTCCGTCCCACTCACCTGCCCCGTGCCATCTGCATTATTCTCAGAGTTGGTGGGGTGGTGTGGGTTTGGTCTGGGAGGATCTGCGTGAGTCATGCTGGTGCTCCAGGCCCAGAAGGAAGCTCAAGCAAAAGTTGATAACAGTGCTTTTGTTTTTGAACATTGACTAATCGTTTAGCCTGCACCACTCTATTTGGTTGATGAGGGGCAGATGATGATGATGGTGCGGGTGCGTGCTCAGTCGCTCAGTTGTGTCCGACTCCTTGTGACTGCATGGACTATAGCCCACCAGGATCCTCTGTCCGTGGAGATTCTCCAGGCAAGAATACTGGAGTGGGGGCCTTCCCTGATGGCTCAGTGGTAAAGCATCCATCTGCTAATGCAGGAGACACAGGTTCAATTCCTGGTCCAGGAAGATCCCATATGCCACAGAGCAACTAACCCCATGTGCCACAGCTCTAGAGCCCGGGAGCCGCAACTACCGAGCCCTGGTCCACAGCTACTGAAGCTGCTGTGCCCCGGAGCCCATGCTCTACAGCAAGAGATGACATCACAATGAGAAAACTGTGCATTGCAGTGGAGAATAGCCCCTGATCTCCACAACCAGAGAAAAGCCCCTGCAGCAACGAAGACCCAAAGCACAGCCAAAAATAAATAAATAAAATTATTAAAAAAAAACCCAATACTGGAGTGGGTTGCCATTTCCTCCTCCAGGGGATCTTCCTGACCCAGAGATGGAATCCGAGTCTCCTGTATTGGCAGGTGGATTCTTTCCCGCTGAGCCACTGGGGAACCCTGCCCCAACCCCCGCTGTGATGCTGGTGAGGTCATCCCGATTACACGTGAGAAGAGTGAGGCTGAGGGCTTGAGAGACAAGACGGTGACTCTAAGGTCATCCAGCTAATGAGGGAAGAAGCCAAGAGTCAAACCCACGTCTCGTGTCAAAATGTATGGTTTCTCACTTCTAAATCACATGGCTTCAGGCTCTGGGTGCTGGGGATGAGAGTAGAAAAGTAACACGGGCTTTCGGCTTCTAAATCCTTCCCTGAAGTGACTGCTCCTAAAGGCAAAGCTAGAGCACTGAGCTTCGAGTCAGGAGTCCTAGTGCCAGCCTTGCCTGTACCACCAGCTTGCTGTGTGAACGTGGACAGTGTCCCAGCCTCTCTGTGCCTCAGTTCCGTTAGTGTTCACAGGAAGGCTTGGCTGAGAACTCTCTGCCTCCAGGACCCCCAGGATGGGAAGCTGAAGCTGGTGGATTGAATTAAGAACATGTAGGGTTTCCCTAGTTGTCCAGTGGTTAAGAATCTGCCTTGCGATGCAGGGGACACCGGTTTGACCCCTAGTCCGGGAAGAGGCCCTCTGCAGTGGGGCAGCTGAGTCCCCGTGCCACAGATGCTGAAGCCCGTGCGCCTGGAGCCTGTGCTCTGCGACCTGACAGGCCCCTGTGGTTGAGAGGCCCACCCAGCCCAACTGGAGCAAGCCCTGGAGCAATAACAAAACCCCCAGTGCAGCCAATATAAAATACATAAATTTCAGAATGTGGAGATTTTCCCTTGACGAATGTGGGGGCACAAGCCACACATACGGGCAGGCAGCTCCCCCAGCAAGTTCCCCTGAAGGCTAATGAAACTCACGGGGCCATTGGAGAGAAGACACATCTTCAGCATACCCGTACAGAGGAAGCGGGGTCACACGGTTTACCACTGACACAAACAGATAACTGATGAGAACCTGCGTCCAGCTCAAGGAGCTCCACTCGGTGCTCCGTGGTGACCTAAATGCGAAGGAAGCGTAAAACGGGGCGGATATATGTGTTTGGACAACTGCGTCCCTCTGCTGGACAGTGGAAACTAACACTGTAAAGCGACTATACTCCAATAAAAATTCATTAAAAATTAATTAAAAAAATTATTACTTACAGATCCCAGAAGCAAGGGGACTCAGTGAACTGGGGAAAGAGCAGGACTTCTCCCCAGGTCACAATTCAGCAGGAGATGGAGCAGGGTAGAAAGCACCTAGTACTTACAAGGTGATTGGGGCAGAGGTTACTAACTTTTCGCAGGCTTATCTTTGAAGTGGTTATTTTATTTTATTTTTTAATCAAAAAAGTCCATCTTGACTCTATATTTAAAAAAAAAATTTTTTTTAAAAAATTTTGTTATTTATTTTGGCTGCATTGCGTGGCTTGTGGAATTTCTCTGACCAGGAATCAAATCTGTGTCCCCTGCAGTGGAAGTTCAGAGTCTTAACCACCCGACCACCGGTGAAGCCCAGTAACTGGTTATTTTAAAAGGTTCCACCAGGAGAAGCAAAGCACAAACTTGCACGGTGCCCAAAATTGATCTAAAGGTCCAGACTCTGGACTTTTGGTGTTAGCAGGATCATCATACTGTAAGGTGCTTAGGCAGCAACTTGGAAAAAGAAAATTGTTTTTTTTGTTTTTCCTCATCACACCTCAAAAGTTGTTTTTTCTCATCACACCTTTCTAGTTTTGACCCTCTTGGAGTATTATCCTAGTTAGGACCGGAGGTGACGAGAGGAAGCTGCTGAAAGGGTTTGGGGGAAAAAAAGCTCAATGGGGGCAGCCTAGAGTGGAGTAAGAATCCCAGCTTCACCACCAGCTGTGTGACCTTCCATAAGTCCCCTCATCTCCCCGATCTTCCATTTAAAAAAAAACAAAAAAAAACTTTCCATTATCAAAAATTGTAAACATAAAAATAGAAAGAGAAAACAAAGAACATTTATACCTCTACCCAGTCAGATTCAACAAGTCTAAACTTCTTGCCATGTTTGCTTCAACTAAGCCACTTAAAAGTAATTTACAGGAACTTCCCTGACTGTCCAGTGGTTAAGACATCGCCTTCCAATGCAGGGCATGCAGGTTCAATCCCTGGTCAGGAACTAAGTCTTAAGACCAAAAAACCAAAACATAAAACAGAAGCAATATTGTAGCAAATTCAAGACTTTAAAAATGGTCCACATCCAAAAATCTTAAAAAATAATAATAATAAAATAAATTACAGACACTAAGGACCATTGTCCAAAAGTACTTTAGCATTTGTATCCAACCAAAGAGAACATGTGCCCCCACAACCACAAAACTATTACACTCAAAAAAAAATTACCATATATATACATGTATATATATACACATATAAAATCTAATATTCTGGCTATATTGAAATTTCCCCAATTGTTCCCAAATTATATTCTATGGATGGTCCATTCACACCAAGATTCAACCAGAGGCCTTGCGTTGCATGTAGCCATTATGGATCTTAAGTCACTGAGTTTGCATTGTGTTCCTCTGTAAACTGGGAAGATGAGTGCATACCTCAGAGGATGTACAAATTAGAGATAGTACATGTGAAGGGCTTAGGCAAGTGCATCCAAAATGTGCACTACTATTATTAGCTTCCTTACTCAACTTGCTCTGCTTAAGGCAGCAGTGTGTTGGGATGCTGTGTCTTGAGATGTCAGTAGCATAGACTAGGGATGATGAGGCAAGAGGTCCCTAGCATCCTCAGAGACATGGACCCACAGGTTGGGTTTGGCCCAGCCCTGGCTGGGAAATGGAGGGGACCAGTCTCACCTGGATCATCTTCAGCACCTTCTGGTCCAGCCCATGGTCCCCCTGGAAGTGCTGCTTCCTCAGGAACTTCTGCACGGTCCGCACTGCCTTCAGCACGCCTTCTTTCCACTCCTTGATGTTATGCTGGCACTGAGCCATAAAGGAGTTCAAACTAGAAGCTGGGGTGTTAAACAGCTCCAGGGGTACTTCCATGTCTGTCTTGAGAGGACCACTGGTGGCTAGGCATACAGCTAGGCACTACGTACCTGCTGGCACACTCACCCTTCTTTAAGGACACTCCTCTCCAGTCCCTTGTGGAATAAAAGACCAGAGTGGAGAGGAAACCAGGGGTGTCTGGCTCCTGGGGACCGGAGCTCCTCTTTACTGAGGCTGTGTACTGCGGCTGGGGCACCCCAGACACTGAGTGATGACGGGAAGGTCAGGTGCCCCCTTAATGGGTGTGGCTTTCAGGCACCCTTCCTGTGGCAGGTTTCGTGTCTCAGCTGTTAGTTTTCCTTTTATAAGTTGCAAACTGACATTGGCTTGAGGATGGCCCTGGAAGAGGCAACTTCCCCAGTTGGATGATATCCACCAACCCCATCCCCCTACGTTGTCATCCAAAACAGGCTGACAAAGAGCAGGGACTCGCTCTAGGATGAGCTGAAGAATGGGAAGTCTAGGGTCCCCAGCACAAACTCTGGAATTCCAGTCTGCCCTTTGCCAGACTCTTAACCTCTCTGACCTTTACATAAATAATCCTTAAAATGGGTTTAGGAATAATACCTATCCCACAGGGTGTGTGGATTAAGCCTGAGAACATTTAGAAGACAAAGTATTAAGCAAATGTACATATTAGACTTCCCTGGCGGTCCAGTGGTCGAGACTCTGTGCTTCCAACGCAGGCGGCGTGGGTTTGATCCCTAGCTGGGCAACTAGGATTCCACATGCCTCGTTGGCCAAAAGCAAAAAATAAATGCAAGTATTATTATTCATTTACTATACATCTAGTGAGGCTTCCCAGGTGGCTCAGTGGTAAAGAACCTGCCTGCAAATGCAGGAGACATGGGTTCGATCTCTGAGTTGGGAAGATCCCCTGGAGGAGAAAAATGGCAACCCACTCCAGTATTCATGCCTGGGAAATTCCATGGATGGAGGAGCCTGGTGGGCTACAGTCCATGGGGATCACAAGAGTCAGACACAACTTAGCGACTAAACCATCTTCCATTCCACACGTGTGGATAGTGAGGGGTGATGGTATTTGGGAGGTTAGTCTCAAGCAAGGTGGTTAGGGAAGTTCTGAAAAGGAAATATTTGCACAGAACATGAAGGAGGCAAAGACTGAGCTGTATATACATTGGAGGGAATAATGGGAGAAAGAGCAGCAAGTACAAAGGCCCTGTGGTAGCAGTGTGCCTGGTGGGTGTGAAGAATAGCAGCGTGATGGAAACGGGGTGATCAAGGGGGGAACGTGGGAGGGGAGGAGGCTTGAGTAGTACAGAGTGGGGGACAAATTGTGTAGGATCTTGAAGACTACTAAGACTCTGGCTTTTACTCTGAATGAAATGGGCTTCCCTGGTGGCTCAGATGGTAAAGAATCTGCCTGCAATGCAGGAGAGCCAGGTATGATACCTGGGTCAGAAAGATCCCCTGGACAAGGGAATGGCTACCCACTCCAGTATTCTTGTTTCAAAAATCTCATGGACAGAGGAGCCTGGCGGGCCACAGTCCATAGGGTGGCCAAGAGTCAGACATGCCCAAGCAACTAGCTTTCACATTGAATGAAATGGGGAACCACAGGGGAGTTCCAAGCAGAAGAGGGACATGGTTGGACTTTTAACAGAATCACATTGGCTCCCGGTGGGAGGATTAGATCAAAAGCGGAGGGTGGAGAGGTGGCGAGAGCAGAGGCAGGAATTCATTAAGAAGTTACTGCAACAGTCCAAACAAGAGATGTGGTGGCTTGGATCGGAATAGTAGCAGTGAAAGGGAGGGAGAAGTGGTATTATTTATTTTTCTTATGGAATATTTCAAACATAAACAAAAGTAGAATATAATGAATGTTTACGTGTCACCTCCCACTTCAAGAATTATCAAAATGAAAGTGCAGTTGCTCAGTTGTGTCTGACTCTTTGTGACCCTATGGGCTGTAACCCGCCAGGCTCCTCTGTCCATGGGATTTTCCAGGCAAGAATACTGGAGTGGGTTGCCATTTCCTTCTCCAGGGGATCTTCCCAACCCAAGGATCGAACTTGGGTCTCCCACATTGAGGGCAGACTTTACCATCTGAGCCACCAGGGAACCCCTTCAACAATTATCAACCTATAGACAATTTTTTATGTTTATTCATGTCTTCTGCCCATTTGTGTGTGTGTGTGTGTGTGTGTGTGGCCATGTGGTTTGCAGGATCTTAATTCCCCAATCAGGAACAGAACCTCTGCAGTAGAAGCACAGAGTCTTAATTGCTGGGCCTCCAGAGAAGTCCCAATCTAGAGACAATCTTTCTTGAATGATGTCCCCATCTCCCCTCTTGTATTATTTGAAAGTGAATCCCAGACATCACAGGAGCTTTCCTGGAGGCTCAGTCAGTAAAGAATCTGCCTGCAATGCAAGAGATGCAGGTTCAATCCCTGGATCGGGAAGATTTCTTGGAGAAGGAAATGGCAATCCACTCCAGTATCCTTGCCAGGAAAATCCCATGGACAGAGGAGCTTGGTGGGCCACAGTCCATAAGGTTGCAAAAAGTTGGACACAACTGACTGACTAAGCACACACACACAGCAAAGACATATTTAAAGCCATGAGTCTGGATGACTTCATCAAGGGAATGAGTATAGAACAAGATGAGAAAAGGACTAAAGATTGAGCCCTGAAACACTTAATAATATTAATAGATTGGAGAAATGCAAGCATCCAGCAAACAAGAATGAGGCATATCGAGGGAGGTGGAAGAAAAATCAGGAATGTGTCTTGATAGCCAAGTGGAGATGCTGTTCCGGGAAACAGAAAGTGATCCACTGGGTCAAACATCAGGCAAATCCCTATGAAACAGTAGCAGTGGGATCTCTTTTCATTTAGAACTTGACACTAGGGATTTCCCTGGTGGTCCAGTGGCTAAGCCTCCGAGCTCCCAGTGTAGGGGTCTGGGGTTTGATGCCTAGTCAGCAAACTAGATCCCATGTGCTGTAACTAAGACCTGGTGCAGTCAAATAAATAAAAATATTAAAAAGAAGTTGACACTGGCAGTTGTGTTGTGGGAAGCAACATCAACCTAGGGAAGCACACACACAGACACACGTATGGGGTCACCACTTAGAGGCAATCTAAATTTTAAAAATTAAAAAAATTGAACACCCAGCGCAGCGAAAAATAAAGAAAACTGAAGGGCAATGAAACTGCTTGTTCAAAAATAGCCATGGGGGCATCCCTGGTGACTCAGGGCTAAAGGATCTACCTACCCACCCAGAAGACATGGGTTGGATCACCTGATCCAGGAAGATCCCAACTGCCTCCGAGCAACTAGGCCCTCGAGCCGCAGCTACCGAGGCTGTGCTCTAGAGCCTGGGAGCCAAAACTTACTGAGCCCATGTGCCGCAACTGCTGAAGTCTGAGAAGTCTGGAGCCCGTGCTCCACAACAAGAGAAGCCACCGCCACGAGAAGCCTGCACACGGGGACCAGAGAGTAGCCCCTGCTCGACGCAACTAGAGAAGGCCCAGGGGCAGCAATGAAGACCCAGTGAGCCACAAATAAATAAGCATTTAGAAAAGAGAAACGGCCGTGGTTCTTTCCCTGGGAAGTCAGCTTCTCTCACCCCATCCTCAGTCCCCGTTCCCAGCAGGAATTCAGAATCAGGGAGTCTCTCCAGATGAAAGCCTGCAGACACAGCCCACCTTTCTCATTATCTGCATTCTCCTCTCCCCCCACCCCCCACAAAGCAAATGAGTAATTCCAGGCTACGCACCATATTCAGTTACTCCTGAGGTCACCTGCAATGACAGAAGAGAAAACACGATGGGTATCAGATCATGCTGTGTACTGTCGATGTAGGTCTTTGATCCCATGGGGGACTGTAGAAAAACAGGTGGGAAAACTGTCCAGTCACAGGCCGCAAAAGATACTGTAGAAGACAACAGTGGGGAAAAGGGGACAAGCTTTTCCTGCACCATGGATCTTTCAAGTCTGTACTGGTCCACCCATCGGAAACTTCTTACTCCACTGAGGAAACATTTCTGATGGGGAAAGGTCCCTGCGAGATCTCTCAACCCATGCTGCTTGTGTGAATGGCCTAGGGCACCCTGGTGGCTCAGGCGATACAGAATCTGCCCACAGTGCAGGAGACCTGGGTTCCATCCCTGAGTTGGGAAGATTCCCTGGAAAAAGAGAATGGCCACCCACTCCAGTATTCTTGCCTGGAGAATTCCACAGACAGAGGAGCCTGGTGGGCTACAGTCCACGGGTCACAAAAGAGTCAGACAGGACTGACCGACTAACACCTTCCTTTTCTTTTCTGGAATCACGGGTCATAGGTGACAGACTCAACGCTCCCCGTTAAGGAAATTGTAAACCCCACCTCTAATGCGCATGCTCGGATTTTCCTCCGTGAATTCAAATGAATTAGAAATGAAAAAGAAACCAGAAAAGCAGCACTCTTCTCTCAGACAAAGATGGGTGAACTTGGACTTCCCTGGTGGTCCAGTGGTGAAGAATCCACCTGCCAGCACAGGGGACGCGGGTTTGCTCCCCGATCTGGGAAGATCCCTCATGCCCGGAGCAACGAAGCCCTTATGCCACAGCTACCGAGCCTGTGCGCCCTGGAGCCCGTGTCCTGCGACACGAGAAGCCGCCGGGGGGAGCCTGCGCACCGCAGTGAAGAGCAGGCCCTGCTCGCAGCAGCTGGAGAAAGCCCGTGCGCGGCAACCAAGACCCGGTGCAGCCACATTTTAAACGTATTAATGAAAAGATGGGCGAGCTTACCTTGGTGTTAGACAGGCTCTCTTCTTCTGCCCTGTCCATGGGCAACTCCTCCACCAGGCCCTCGGGGGGAGCTGCAAGGACACAGAGCGACTGTCAGTCCTTGGTGACGCTGCCCAGGAATCACTCAGAGAGGTCTGCTTGATGTGGACCCCGGGTGAGAGTCTATGGCAGCGATCACTTAACAAGCAAGCACTGGGAATTAGGGGCTGCCCTCCTTGGTGGGCGAAGAAAGGCAAAGGAGAGGAACAGGAAAGAAATGAGAAGCAGGGTGTTCAGGCTAACAACAAAGCCAAATCCTGGGTTCTTATCTATCACTGTTCTGGGGGATGGAGCTCACATGAGTTACAGAGTTTGTGGTCATAATATTATCAAATACACTAAAATATCTCCCTGATTTTTTCTTCTAAAAAACAAGTCTTAACAACTTTTAAAATTTGTATTTATTGTTTGGCTGCATTGGGTCTCTGTTACTGCACAAGGGCTTTCTCTCTAGTTGTGGCGAGCAGGGGCTACGCTCTAATTTTGGTGTGAGGGCTTCTCATTGCAGTGGCTTCTCTTGTCGCAGGGCACAGACTGTAGGCACACGGACTCAGCAGTTGCGGCTCGAGGGCTCCGTGGGCCCCGCGGCATGTGGGACCTTCCCAGATCAGGATGGAAGCCATGTCCTCTGCAGTGACAGGTGGATTCTTTACCAGCAAGTCACCAGGGAAGCTCTCTCCCTGATTTTTATATGGTTGGGGCCAGAGGCTGAGGAGTGACCCCAGGACCAGTAGATATCAACCTGAATTGTCTACACAGAGTCTCGGACTCTGTGGACTGACCAGGAACATGTGGCTTCTGATGGGCATTCGTGCTCATGTCGGTGCCAAAGTCGGCTTAAATGCACCTATAGCTGCCCTGGCTTCCCTGGTGGCTAAGACGGTAGAGAATCTGCCCACAAT